GTGTGTGTGTGAGTGTGTGTGTGTGTGTGAATGAATGAGTGAGTGAGTGTGTGTGTGTGTGTGTGTGTGTGTGTGAGTGTGTGTGTGTGTGTGTGTCTCTGTGGTTGTGTGTGTGTGTGTGTGAGAGAGTGTGTGTGTGTCTCTGTGGTTGTGTGTGTGAGAGAGAGAGTGTGTGTGTGTGTGTGTCTCTGTGGTTGTGTGTGTGAGAGAGTGTGTGTGTGTGTGTGTGTGTGTCTGTCTGGGTGGGTGTGTGTGTGTGTGTGAGAGAGAGTGTGTGTGTGTGTGTCTCTGTGGGTGTGTGTGAGAGAGTGTGTCTGTGTGTGTGTGTGAGAGAGTGTGTGTGTGTGTCTCTGTGGGTGTGTGTGAGAGAGTGTGTCTGTGTGTGTGTGTGAGAGAGTGTGTGTGTGTGTCTCTGTGGGTGTGTGTGAGAGAGTGTGTCTGTGTGTGTGTGTGAGAGAGTGTGTGTGTGTGTCTCTGTGGGTGTGTGTGAGAGAGTGTGTCTGTGTGTGTGTGTGAGAGAGTGTGTGTCTCTGTGGTTGTGTGTGTGTGTGTGAGAGAGAGTGTGTGTGTGTGTCTCTGTGGTTGTGTGTGAGAGAGAGTGTGTTTCTCTGTGGTTGTGTGTGAGTGTGTGAGAGTGTTTCTCTGTGGTTGTGTGTGTGTCTCTGTGGTTGTGTGTGTGTGAGAGAGTGTGTGTCTCTGTGGTTGTGTGTGTGTGTGAGAGAGTGTGTGGTTGTGTGTGTGTGTGTGTCTCTGTGCGTGTGTGTGTGTTTCCATCTGCTGTTATTGTTAGAAAAAAATAGCTGCTCCCCAAAATAGTGAGCTGTCGCCTGTAGTGTACACTTATGAGACAGCATGCCAGTTTCAACAGAACCTTGTGTGTGTGTGAGAGAGTGAGAGTGTGTGTGTGTCTCTGTGGTTGTGTGAGAGAGTGTGTTTCTCTGTGGTTGTGTGTGAGTGTGTGTGAGTGTGTGTCTCTGTGGTTGTGTGTGTGTGTGTGTGTGAGAGAGTGTGTGTCTCTGTGGTTGTGTGTGTGTGAGAGTGTGTGTGTGTCTGTGGTTGTGTGTGTGTGTGAGAGAGTGTGTGGTTGTGTGTGTGTGTGTGTCTCTGTGCGTGTGTGTGTGTTTCCATCTGCTGTTATTGTTAGAAAAAAATAGCTGCTCCCCAAAATAGTGAGCTGTCGCCTGTAGTGTACACTTATGAGACAGCATGCCAGTTTCAACAGAACCTCATACGTGTCTGATTTGGAAATCTCTATGTCATGCAAACAGTGCACAGGAGACGCTCTTGAGTTCAAGACTTTGGCACTGGCATATTTCTAAATCATTTGTTTATTGCTTCTTATTGCACTCTCAAAAAGCTGAGCTATATTTGTCTACCCAAACGCTGATTTGGGTCGTATTTAGGGTTATTTTTTTACATTGTTGGGAAGATGTTCTGTTCAGTCCAGCGGTTGAGTCACTGAGTCACACTTCTCTTTACGAGAGAGCGGTTCTAGCACAGACAAATTAGTACCTTTTTTTCAGTGAAGTAAAGTTTTGTATACGTTTCATTTAATTAATAATCGATTCATTGAGATGAGATGCCAGTGAGTTACTTTTAAAATGCCTGATTTAAATGACTCTATGTGTATGTAACATTGGATACATGTATAAAATATGCTAAGCACTGTATTCATCCAAAATAAAGCAGGTATCACGTAAAGTGTCTTGTGTTTCAGATGATTTAAAGCCCTATTCAGATGGGACTAGTTTTCAAAGGGGACGCTTGAGAAATTTGCGTTTCACAGACGCACTTTGTGATTTTAATCCTGAAAGAATCTGCCAAGTCTGTGTTTTTCTCACAAAACCTCTGCAAAAACTCCAGAGCAAATGAGCTACCGTTGTTCGGCAAACTCAGAGGTCCTCTGGGAAATCTGTTCATCCGTCTGTGATTGCTGATATTGCATTATCCCAACGCTTCCCCTCGTGTGTTGTTTGGCCTACCTGAGCTACCGTTGCACACCAATCTTCCGCATGCTGCACCTTTCAATATGGTATCCGACGAAAGAAATACAATACTAAACTAAGGAGAGTCAAATCGTGGAAGCTGCTAAGATACTCGTCTAGATTTTTCTGCTCACTTATGTGGGTTCTTATGTGAAGATTATTTAAATATTGATTTTAGAAAAAAAATTCAAATGATATTAATTCATATTTCATTAAGACATATACGCCATATGTGTTACACGCAACCACAACATGTCTAACGAACTGAGGTCGCGGAGTTTAATGAAAAGCAAATAGTTAATAAAATCATAAAAAAACTTACAATTAAAATAAATAATTTTAAAATAACTAATCAAACACAAAAAAGTTTACCTGCATGTCATGTGACCATAAATCAATGTCAGAGAAGGGTGAACATGCAAATATGGTACTTAGTTATTAACTTAATATATAATCATGCAATCAATAAAAAGTAGCTGCAGTGTGATTACTAGTATTTTACAACATAATATAATACAATTACAAGAACTTAACTCTTGGAAGCTGATTACATAATGAGTTACTAACCCAAAACTGGGCACATTTTTAAAAACGTTTGTGTTTGATCCACCGTCTTCGTCTTCACCATCTCCCGTCCAACATTTCAGACCGAGCTTTTTATCACAATGCATTTTTAATTTGAGGTAAAAATAAGTTATCTTAGAATGCTATTAAAGCACTTTACATCAGGAACAACCTACACTCTCAGAAAAAAAAAAGGTACAAAAGTTGTCACTGGGGCGGTACCTTTTCAAAAGGCACACCTTTGTACCTAAAGAGTCCATATTGGTACCTAAAATGTACATATTAGTACTTAAAAGGTACAAAAGTGTACCTTTTGAAAAGGTACTGCCCCAGTGATAACTTTTGTACCTTTTTTCTGAGAGTGTATGATGCCATAAATGCTTAGAAGGTAGACAGAATGTTTAGAAGAGCGCTATTGTTTGCCTTTGCCTCACTGTACGCGATCTTTCAGAGTATCAGTTCTTGTGTTTACTTTGGTTTTGTTTATTACTGTGCATTGCTCACGTTCCTGCTCTGGAACAGCTGCTGTCGCAAAGACAGAAGCAGAATGTCGTGAATGTGAATCGAGCATCTCGCCGCATGACTGCGCCAGTTTAACTTACACCAAACAGCAGCATCACAATCCACTCTACAGCCAGCGCCGTCAGTGCGACTGTGAAATGCGTGTTTTCAAACATTTGGCAGCAGCCCTTGCCTGGAGGCGCTCCGAATGATCGATGTCTCCTAAGTGTTTTTCCAGCATATTAAACAGAGCAGATTATCAGAGTTATAGGTGAAGCTCTCGGCGAGGAGATTAAAGTCTCTCGTAATTAGTTTCCTCTTAAACTCGCGCATATTTTCCGGCGTGCGCTGGTTTTGATGTATTGACTCTCCGGGCCGCTAGGCAGAGCGGGGAAAAGCATTCTCGTCTTAATGAAATGCTTAGCATTTTCCATCTTGCTGCTCTCCTAGTGTGCTGTAACGACCCGGAGTCGGATTATACGGCCCTGATTCCTTCCACTTCCCGGAGAAAGGAAGGAACGCTTGCGGTAAACACACCTGAAACACAGAAGAAACCAGAACTGAAAGAATGAATGGGTGTTTGCATGAGCAGAACAGCCGTCCTCACTCTGTCGAACTCTTGTCCAGTTCATTGGTTTGTCTATCCATCAATCATCTATACATCCATCCCTCTCTTCATCTCAGTCATCTTGTGATTAAGAAACGTTGGGTTAGTTCGCCATTGAAAGTCCATTCGCCCAAAAGCTTTACAGTGGCTTTATGAAGTAATTCATATGAATCAAGCTATTTAATCGAGTCTTCTGAAGAGACACAGTCGCTTTGAGGAGATTCAGTTAGGCTTTTATTCACATGTGAATATGAGTGTGTGTGAGGATGTGTGTGTGAGAGTGTGTATGTACGAGTGTGAGTATGAGGATGCATGTGTGAGAGTGTGTGTATGAGAGAGTGAGTGTGAGGATGCGCGTGTGACAGTGTGTGTATGTGAGGGTGGGATGTGTGTGTGTGTGAGTGTGAGGATGCGTGTGTGTATGTAAGTGACGGTGTGTGTGTGTGTGTGAGAGTGTGTATGTACGAGTGTGAGTATGAGGATGCATGTGTGAGAGTGTGTGTATGAGAGAGTGAGTGTGAGGATGCGCGTGTGACAGTGTGTGTATGTGAGTGTGGGATGTGTGTGTGTGTGTGAGTGTGAGGATGCGAGTGTGACAGTGTGTGTATGTGAGTGTGGGATGTGTGTGAGAGTGTGTGTATGTGAGAGTGAGTGTGAGGATGCGCGTGTGACAGTGTGTGTATGTGAGTGTGGGATGTGTGTGTGTGTGTGTGTGAGTGTGAGGATGCGTGTGTGTATGTAAGTGACGGTGTGTGTGTGTGTGTGAGGATGCGTTTGAGAGTGTGTGTATGTGAGTGTGTGTGGGGATGTGTGTGTGAGTGTGTATGTACGAGTGTGAGTATGAGGATGCATGTGTGAGTGTGTGTGTGAGGATGCGTTTGAGAGTGTGTGTATGTGAGTGTGTGTGGGGATGTGTGTGTGAGTGTGTATGTACGAGTGTGAGTATGAGGATGCATGTGTGAGTGTGTGTGTGAGGATGCGTTTGAGAGTGTGTGTATGTGAGTGTGTGTGGGGATGTGTGTGTGAGTGTGTATGTACGAGTGTGAGTATGAGGATGCATGTGTGAGTGTGTGTGTGAGGATGCGTTTGAGAGTGTGTGTATGTGAGTGTGTGTGGGGATGTGTGTGTGAGTGTGTATGTACGAGTGTGAGTATGAGGATGCATGTGTGAGAGTGTGTATGTGAGAGTGTGTGTGTGAGGATGCGTGTGAAGTGAGTGTGTGTTGAAAAAGTGTTTGAGAGAGTGAGTGTTATGTGAGGATCCGTGTGAAGTGAGTGTGTATTGAAAAAGTGTTTGAGAGAGTGAGTGTTATGTGAGGATCCGTGTGAAGTGAGTGTGTATTGAAAAAGTGTTTGAGAGAGTGAGTGTTATGTGAGGATCCGTGTGAAGTGAGTGTGTATTGAAAAAGTGTTTGAGAGAGTGAGTGTTATGTGAGGATCCGTGTGAAGTGAGTGTGTATTGAAAAAGTGTTTGAGAGAGTGAGTGTTATGTGAGGATCCGTGTGAAGTGAGTGTGTATTGAAAAAGTGTTTGAGAGAGTGAGTGTTATGTGAGGATCCGTGTGAAGTGAGTGTGTATTGAAAAAGTGTTTGAGAGAGTGAGTGTTATGTGAGGATCCGTGTGAAGTGAGTGTGTATTGAAAAAGTGTTTGAGAGAGTGAGTGTTATGTGAGGATCCGTGTGAAGTGAGTGTGTATTGAAAAAGTGTTTGAGAGAGTGAGTGTTATGTGAGGATCCGTGTGAAGTGAGTGTGTATTGAAAAAGTGTTTGAGAGAGTGAGTGTTATGTGAGGATCCGTGTGAAGTGAGTGTGTATTGAAAAAGTGTTTGAGAGAGTGAGTGTTATGTGAGGATCCGTGTGAAGTGAGTGTGTATTGAAAAAGTGTTTGAGAGAGTGAGTGTTATGTGAGGATCCGTGTGAAGTGAGTGTGTATTGAAAAAGTGTTTGAGAGAGTGAGTGTTATGTGAGGATCCGTGTGAAGTGAGTGTGTATTGAAAAAGTGTTTGAGAGAGTGAGTGTTATGTGAGGATCCGTGTGAAGTGAGTGTGTATTGAAAAAGTGTTTGAGAGAGTGAGTGTTATGTGAGGATCCGTGTGAAGTGAGTGTGTATTGAAAAAGTGTTTGAGAGAGTGAGTGTTATGTGAGGATCCGTGTGAAGTGAGTGTGTATTGAAAAAGTGTTTGAGAGAGTGAGTGTTATGTGAGGATCCGTGTGAAGTGAGTGTGTATTGAAAAAGTGTTTGAGAGAGTGAGTGTTATGTGAGGATCCGTGTGAAGTGAGTGTGTATTGAAAAAGTGTTTGAGAGAGTGAGTGTTATGTGAGGATCCGTGTGAAGTGAGTGTGTATTGAAAAAGTGTTTGAGAGAGTGAGTGTTATGTGAGGATCCGTGTGAAGTGAGTGTGTATTGAAAAAGTGTTTGAGAGAGTGAGTGTTATGTGAGGATCCGTGTGAAGTGAGTGTGTATTGAAAAAGTGTTTGAGAGAGTGAGTGTTATGTGAGGATCCGTGTGAAGTGAGTGTGTATTGAAAAAGTGTTTGAGAGAGTGAGTGTTATGTGAGGATCCGTGTGAAGTGAGTGTGTATTGAAAAAGTGTTTGAGAGAGTGAGTGTTATGTGAGGATCCGTGTGAAGTGAGTGTGTATTGAAAAAGTGTTTGAGAGAGTGAGTGTTATGTGAGGATCCGTGTGAAGTGAGTGTGTATTGAAAAAGTGTTTGAGAGAGTGAGTGTTATGTGAGGATCCGTGTGAAGTGAGTGTGTATTGAAAAAGTGTTTGAGAGAGTGAGTGTTATGTGAGGATCCGTGTGAAGTGAGTGTGTATTGAAAAAGTGTTTGAGAGAGTGAGTGTTATGTGAGGATCCGTGTGAAGTGAGTGTGTATTGAAAAAGTGTTTGAGAGAGTGAGTGTTATGTGAGGATCCGTGTGAAGTGAGTGTGTATTGAAAAAGTGTTTGAGAGAGTGAGTGTTATGTGAGGATCCGTGTGAAGTGAGTGTGTATTGAAAAAGTGTTTGAGAGAGTGAGTGTTATGTGAGGATCCGTGTGAAGTGAGTGTGTATTGAAAAAGTGTTTGAGAGAGTGAGTGTTATGTGAGGATCCGTGTGAAGTGAGTGTGTATTGAAAAAGTGTTTGAGAGAGTGAGTGTTATGTGAGGATCCGTGTGAAGTGAGTGTGTATTGAAAAAGTGTTTGAGAGAGTGAGTGTTATGTGAGGATCCGTGTGAAGTGAGTGTGTATTGAAAAAGTGTTTGAGAGAGTGAGTGTTATGTGAGGATCCGTGTGAAGTGAGTGTGTATTGAAAAAGTGTTTGAGAGAGTGAGTGTTATGTGAGGATCCGTGTGAAGTGAGTGTGTATTGAAAAAGTGTTTGAGAGAGTGAGTGTTATGTGAGGATCCGTGTGAAGTGAGTGTGTATTGAAAAAGTGTTTGAGAGAGTGAGTGTTATGTGAGGATCCGTGTGAAGTGAGTGTGTATTGAAAAAGTGTTTGAGAGAGTGAGTGTTATGTGAGGATCCGTGTGAAGTGAGTGTGTATTGAAAAAGTGTTTGAGAGAGTGAGTGTTATGTGAGGATCCGTGTGAAGTGAGTGTGTATTGAAAAAGTGTTTGAGAGAGTGAGTGTTATGTGAGGATCCGTGTGAAGTGAGTGTGTATTGAAAAAGTGTTTGAGAGAGTGAGTGTTATGTGAGGATCCGTGTGAAGTGAGTGTGTATTGAAAAAGTGTTTGAGAGAGTGAGTGTTATGTGAGGATCCGTGTGAAGTGAGTGTGTATTGAAAAAGTGTTTGAGAGAGTGAGTGTTATGTGAGGATCCGTGTGAAGTGAGTGTGTATTGAAAAAGTGTTTGAGAGAGTGAGTGTTATGTGAGGATCCGTGTGAAGTGAGTGTGTATTGAAAAAGTGTTTGAGAGAGTGAGTGTTATGTGAGGATCCGTGTGAAGTGAGTGTGTATTGAAAAAGTGTTTGAGAGAGTGAGTGTTATGTGAGGATCCGTGTGAAGTGAGTGTGTATTGAAAAAGTGTTTGAGAGAGTGAGTGTTATGTGAGGATCCGTGTGAAGTGAGTGTGTATTGAAAAAGTGTTTGAGAGAGTGAGTGTTATGTGAGGATCCGTGTGAAGTGAGTGTGTATTGAAAAAGTGTTTGAGAGAGTGAGTGTTATGTGAGGATCCGTGTGAAGTGAGTGTGTATTGAAAAAGTGTTTGAGAGAGTGAGTGTTATGTGAGGATCCGTGTGAAGTGAGTGTGTATTGAAAAAGTGTTTGAGAGAGTGAGTGTTATGTGAGGATCCGTGTGAAGTGAGTGTGTATTGAAAAAGTGTTTGAGAGAGTGAGTGTTATGTGAGGATCCGTGTGAAGTGAGTGTGTATTGAAAAAGTGTTTGAGAGAGTGAGTGTTATGTGAGGATCCGTGTGAAGTGAGTGTGTATTGAAAAAGTGTTTGAGAGAGTGAGTGTTATGTGAGGATCCGTGTGAAGTGAGTGTGTATTGAAAAAGTGTTTGAGAGAGTGAGTGTTATGTGAGGATCCGTGTGAAGTGAGTGTGTATTGAAAAAGTGTTTGAGAGAGTGAGTGTTATGTGAGGATCCGTGTGAAGTGAGTGTGTATTGAAAAAGTGTTTGAGAGAGTGAGTGTTATGTGAGGATCCGTGTGAAGTGAGTGTGTATTGAAAAAGTGTTTGAGAGAGTGAGTGTTATGTGAGGATCCGTGTGAAGTGAGTGTGTATTGAAAAAGTGTTTGAGAGAGTGAGTGTTATGTGAGGATCCGTGTGAAGTGAGTGTGTATTGAAAAAGTGTTTGAGAGAGTGAGTGTTATGTGAGGATCCGTGTGAAGTGAGTGTGTATTGAAAAAGTGTTTGAGAGAGTGAGTGTTATGTGAGGATCCGTGTGAAGTGAGTGTGTATTGAAAAAGTGTTTGAGAGAGGGAGTATGTGAGGATGCGTGTGAAGTGAGTGTATGTGAGGATGTGTGTGAGTGAGTGTGAGAGTGTGTGTGAGAGAGTGCGTGTGAAGTGAGTGTGTGTGAGGACATGTGTGAGTGTGTGTATGTAATGCGTGTGAGAGTGAGAGTATGAGTGTGTTTTTACCTTTGCACGAACTCTAGCGTTGCTCCTTGGTCTCCTGGGTATGAAATATTCAAGCAGTAGTATGAGGCAAACATCAACTTCAGAGCATCGCAGAAGATGGTGATGTGGCTGTTAACTATGACTTGGTCGACAGAAAACAAAGTTCTCTGCAGTCAAAGGGGAACTTCATGTTGTTATGCATAAGAAAAAGGAGAGATCAGTAACACTGTGACAAACTTAAATTCCCGCAAATATTAAATAGTTTTCCTTTAAAAATATTCAAACATACCACACACAATTATGCAGGGTGTACTTGGAAGTGTGGCACAGTCTACTTCAGAGGGCACGGCTGTCTGATCCACTTCATCTGGTCCCCTCTCTCGCTGAAGTAACCAATAGAAATAATTTATTAAAAAGTGACTTAATATGGAGATACAAGCTTTTAATGAGGAGGGATACTAGGCACGTGCCTCTGCAGACACCCAGGCCTGACTGTACATACGATAGTTCAGATCATCAGTGTGATTATAGCTGAAAGTAAAACGTGCAGTCCAATTGATGTTAGTTAATGTCATTATACAGGCGTAATGACCAGTGCTTGAAGAGGGAAAAAGTGCAGACGAACATAAAGTTACTAACGTTCAAATGGCGCTGGGAGGGGTTGGGTCACTTTAAGCGCTGGTCCTAATGAATCTGTTTCTGAATTAATAACTTTCATCCAACCTCGCCTCAGAAAATAGCATTTTAGAGCCTTTAGACGACGCCTACGATTATGTATATAAAAACTGATTAAAATATTGCACTATGCGTCGAAGTTCGGTAAAGTTGGCAATAATGTTAGTTAAGCGAATTTCATTATACAGGCGTAATAACCAGTGCTTGAAGAGGGAAAAAGTGCAGACGAACATAAAGTTACTAACGTTCAAATGGCGCTGGGAGGGGTTGGGTCACTTTAAGCGCTGGTCCTAATGAATCCGTTTAAAATAGCAAATAGCATTTTAGAGCTTTTAGACGACGCCTACGATTATGATTATAAAAACTGATTAAAATATTGCACTATGCGTCGAAGTTCGGTAAAGTTGGCAACATATTCACAGATTCAAACTTACCTGATCGATAACTCCTGAGCTAAACGTTCTTAAAACACAAATGAGACATCTTTCTAATAACAGTACCGCACTATGCGTCGAAGTTCGGTAAAGTTGGCAACATATTCACAGATTCAAACTTACCTGATCAATAACTCCTGAGCTAAACGTTCTTAAAACACAAATGACACATCTTTCTAATAACAGTATCGTAGACAACCAGCTAACGACCTAATCTGCAAAACGAGCCTGTTTTTCCGTCAGGGACAATATAGCAGTTAGCCTGCTTGGTAACGAAACCTAAAACTACTAAATTATGTAGTCAAATTCGGATAAAATCTAACAAAAAGAAAGAAAAACTACACAGTAACATCAAATGAAACATAAATTTGACACTTTTTGAAGATTTTAAATGACTAACGGTAACGGTCAGCGCCGAAGTTTGAAACACACACTGGTTTAACGATTCAAAAAGGTAAACATTCAAAATGCTAGGACTCAAATATAGTAGAAGTA